ACAAGTGCGTTCTGGCTACTAGGTACGACATATATATATATATATATATATATATATATATATATATATATATATATATATATATATATATATATATATATATATATATATATATATATATATATATATATATATGTCGTACCTAGTAGCCAGAACGCACTTCTCAGCCTACTATGCAAGGCCCGATTTGCCTAATAAGCCAAGTTTTCCTGAATTATTATATTTTCTCTATTTTTTTTCTAATGAAATGATAAAGCTACCCATTTCATTATGTATGATGTCAATTTCTTTTTATTGGAGTTAAAATTGACGTAGATATATGTCCGAACCTAACCAACCCTACCTAACCTAACCTAACCTATCTTTATAGGTTAGGTTAGGTTAGGTAGCATAAAAAGTTAGGTTAGGTTAGGTTAGGTAGGTTAGGTAGTCGAAAAACAATTAATTCATGAAAACTTGGCCTACTAGGCAAATTGGGCCTTGCATAGTAGGCTGAGAAGTGCGTTCTGGCTACTAGGTACGACATATATATATATATATATATATATATATATATATATATATATATATATATATATATATATATATATATATATATATATATATATATATATATATATATATATATATATTAGTATATTTTGGTAGCAGTCTTTCCTGTAGACATATATTATTAAATATGACCGAAAAAGTAAGATTAATAATTCTAACACGAATTTTCTCAATCTTTCGTACATTACGCTTCACTGTTGGAGGTAAATCAAAAATCACTTCTCCAAAATTCATTTTTATTTCTAGTCTGACGCGACACGGGCGCGTTTCGTAAAACTTATTACATTTTCAAAGACTTCACAAATACACAACTCATTTAGAACGTATCTCTGATTTTATATCTACATTTGAGTGAGGTGGGAAGGGTGATGTGGCATTAACACAAGACAGAACAGGAGGGGATATTAATAGGGTATTAAAAGTATCAACACAAGACAGAACAGAAACAATGGGTATTGAATAGAAGTGTTTGTAGAAAGCCTATTGGTCCATATTTCTTGATGCTTCTATATTGGAGCGGAGTCTTGAGGTGGGTAGAATATAGTTGTGCAATAATTGGCTGTTGATTGCTGGTGTTGACTTCTTGATATGTAGTGCCTCGCAAACGTCAAGCCGCCTGCTATCGCTGTATCTATCGATGATTTCTGTGTTGTTTACTAGGATTTCTCTGGCGATGGTTTGGTTATGGGAAGAGATTATATGTTCCTTAATGGAGCCCTGTTGCTTATGCATCGTTAAACGCCTAGAAAGAGATGTTGTTGTCTTGCCTATATACTGGGTTTTTTGGAGCTTACAGTCCCCAAGTGGGCATTTGAAGGCATAGACGACATTAGTCTCTTTTAAAGCGTTCTGTTTTGTGTCTGGAGAGTTTCTCATGAGTAGGCTGGCCGTTTTTCTGGTTTTATAGTAAATCGTCAGTTGTATCCTCTGATTTTTGTCTGTAGGGATAACGTTTCTATTAACAATATCTTTCAGGACCCTTTCCTCCGTTTTATGAGCTGTGGAAAAGAAGTTCCTGTAAAATAGTCTAATAGGGGGTATAGGTGTTGTGTTAGTTGTCTCTTCAGAGGTTGCATGGCTTTTCACTTTCCTTCTTATGATGTCTTCGATGAAACCATTGGAGAAGCCGTTATTGACTAGGACCTGCCTTACCCTACAGAGTTCTTCGTCGACTTGCTTCCATTCTGAGCTGTGGCTGAGAGCACGGTCGACGTATGCGTTAACAACACTCCTCTTGTACCTGTCAGGGCAGTCGCTGTTGGCATTTAGGCACATTCCTATGTTTGTTTCCTTAGTGTAGAACAAACAAACATTCCTATGTTTGTTTCCTTAATCCTAGTAAACAACACAGAAATCATCGATAGATACAGCGATAGCAGGCGGCTTGACGTTTGCGAGGCACTACACATCAAGAAGTCAACACCAGCAATCAACAGCCAATTATTGCACAACTATATTCTACCTACCTCAGGACTCCGCTCCAATATAGAAGCATCAAGAAATATGGACCAATAGGCTTTCTACAAACACTTCTATTCAATACCCATTGTTTCTGTTCTGTCTTGTGTTGATACTTTTAATACCCTATTAATATCCCCTCCTGTTCTGTCTTGTGTTAATGCCACATCACCCTTCCCACCTCACTCAAATGTAGATATAAAATCAGAGATACGTTCTAAATCAGTTGTGTATTTGTGAAGTCTTTGAAAATGTAATAAGTTTTACGAAACGCGCCCGTGTCGCGTCAGACTAGAAATAAAAATAAATTTTGGAGAAGTGATTTTTGATTTACCTCCAACAGTGAAGCGTAATGTACGAAAGATTGAGAAAATTCGTGTTAGAATTATTAATCTTACTTTTTCGGTCATATTTAATAATATATATATATATATATATATATATATATATATATATATATATATATATATATATATATATATATATATATATATATATATATATATATATATATATATATATATATATATATATGTCGTACCTAATAGCCAGAACGCACTTCTCAGCCTACTATGCAAGGCCCGATTTGCCTAATAAGCCAAGTTTTCCTGAATTAATATATTTCCTCTAATTTTTTTCTTATGACATGATAAAGCTACCCATTTCATTATGTATGAGGTCAATTTTTTTTATTGGAGTTAAAATTAACGTAGATATATGACCGAACCTAACCAACCCTACCTAACCTAACCTAACCTATCTTTATAGGTTAGGTTAGGTTAGGTAGCCGAAAACGTTAGGTTAGGTTAGGTTAGGTAGGTTAGGTAGACGAAAAACCATTATTTCATGAAAACTTGGCTTATTAGGCAAATTGGGCCTTGCATAGTAGGCTGAGAAGTGCGTTCTGGCTACTAGGTACGACATATATACACACACACACATATATATATATATAGAGAGAGAGAGAGAGAGAGAGAGAGAGAGAGAGAGAGAGAGAGAGAGAGAGAGAGAGAGAGAGAGAGAGAGAGAGAGAGAGAGAGAGAGAGAGAGAGAGAGAGAGAGAGAGAGAGAGAAGAGAGAGAGAGAGAGAGAAAGAGAGAGAGAGAAAGAGAGAGAGAAAGAGAGAGAGAGAGAGAGAGAGAGAGAGAGAGAGAGAGAGAGAGAGAGAGAGAGAGAGAGAGAGAGAGAGAGAGAGAGAGAGAGAGAGAGAGAGAGAGACAGGGGAACACACCCCACTCACATGACAGGGTGTCAAGGGTCAAGACGTGACAGTTGGATATGAAATGTATAACCAAACGTCAGTAGCGTTTTGCATTCATTTAAATATTAGTGTATTCAGATATTTACATGCAAAAAGAATGTTTAGATAAACATGCTCGATAAACGAGCATCGTCCATATTGCTGTTCCGTCGCTCGTCTTTGGGACTTGGACTCCAGACCAAATTTGGGTTCTGGGCACCTCTTCGTTACAGCACTAGCTGAAGTATGTAATGAAAATACTGAACGTGACATCGGGATAATGGGAGAGAGTTTGTAGCTGGAGCTATACACACTGACAAAGAAGGTGTGATGTGAAAATGGTTATAGTGATAAAAACAGTCGGAGTGAGAATGGTTACAGTGATGAAACGAGACAGGGAATTTGCGTGAGGGAAGAGACGTGGATGACATGTGTGGGGGAGGGGGGGGGACAGGACATGGAAATTGTTCATGTGGGGAGATGGGCGTTGGTGAGTATGTTCGAAGGCAGGGAGAGTGTATGTGGGGGAGACAGGGAAAGTGTGCAGGCAGAGACGGAAAGGGTAAGTGGGGCAGAAATATGGATCATGGGTTGACTTTTGCAGTAATGAAGAATGGGTGCTGTGAAAACTGACACAGTGATATGGTGAGACAAGAAAAGTGTATTGTGGCTTACAGGGAGGGTGTGTGAATATCTCGTGGTTTGTGGGTGGGGTGGGGGAAGGGAGATGAGGAGGCTGAATGGCGGGGGGGGGGGGGAGAGGGATATTGGGATACCTGGTTATTTTTAATTAATAATACTATAATTAAATCTCATATTACAGCATGCATAATTAATTTATATGATCATGATCAATTATAAATCACGTGATGTTATATTTATCATTAGATAGAGCCATTTGATAAGTAAATAAAGTCTATTCTGAATACAACTCTGGGAGTCTGTTGGACCAACACAGTTTACATTGAAATTTTTTAAAATAAATGCAACGAGGAGTTCCATCAATTGAACATTAACAAGTGTCACAATGTCGTTGCAAATGCAAGAAAAGTGCATAAGCATTTAAATAAATTAAATCGTTGTAAGTATCAGTATAATTGTGAATTACATTGTTTAGAAAAATCCAGATATCATGAAACACGAAACTACTTTTTTTTCAAATTACGTTTGAATAACTAGTCTTTACAAAAAAATATAGAATTGTGATGCTTACTGTAAATAATTACCATATTAATCAATCATTAATTTGAATTATTAATGTGACCAGAATTTTAGATTCGTAAATGCGGTAATAGTTATTACAAGGAAAACTGGTTAGCTCTCCAGACCACACCAGTCACATTAATTTTTGCCAACCCGCCATAAAGCTAAATTATGATTATCAGAGACTGAAGATATTTCCTATTGATAACATATTTAAATAAGTTTGGTGGTGATTTCCCGGAGAAATTGGCGTGAGATGGCCAGACACTTACAAGTGTCGGCAGAAATATCCGCCTAATTTTAAGATGTTTGAAGTATATACAGTAATTTAGTCCAGTTGGCAGAAATACTACATTTGGTAGCGATAATATCATTGCAGACGTGCATAGAAATCAAAGTGATTATATCAAGATGAACTTTATATAACAAAAAAAGCAAAAATTATGTTCAGAACATAATTTTAATTGTGTTGGAGATCGGAAAAAAATTACGTAATTCATGAACTCAAATCACTGGGAATAAATGAGACATTAAATATACAACTTACCAGAGTAATCAGAAGAGCAGTTCCATGTGATTTTGTCATTTGTAATGATTACTTCAGCAATGCTGGTTTCTGAACACTGAAGGTTTTCTGATACCCCAAAATCTTGTATTGTTAATTTGTAATTTTCTGCGTTTTCTGGATGCTTCTTTTTATTTACTCTCACAACGTCTACTCTGTGATGAACACCTTTTTGACTTGTGTTACTGTTTATCATCTTTACTTCTGGCAGCATCACAGTGATATTACTGACCCATTTGCTGAAGAACGGGTCATAACTTACGTGATCTTCACACATGCGTATAGTGGCAGTGACTTTAATTCTTGACGCACATTCTGTAAATTAGAGTCAGGGATTAGTTTAATTTTATTCCACTACATTCCCATGATAGTCGCTCTCGAGAAAGTCTCAGAAACTACCTAATTGTACCCAATCAGAGATTTACACTTTCCAAGGCATACCATAACGACATCTAGGAACATTGTGGTTGTATAATTTATATCAGCGTTTTGCTCCAGGGATGGTTTTGTATTTCATTACCAGTTGCTGTTTGAGACATTCTTATCGAGTGTCCTGACCTAGTTGGAAGCGTGGCAGCTTTCTACTTTGCACGCCACCCTTCAATTCATTGAAAGTCAAGGAAAATTAAAGTTATAACCTACGATATACATATAAATTCTTTATATTGTATTATATGTGAAGGGCAGGTAAGTACCAGATGTTACTGGTGTAATCCAATAATGGTTCCAGTCTCCAGTTAACTATCAATTAAATTAATTAGTTTCTAAGACTTTCTATATTGCGAGCATCTTGGCCAGATTGGCCGGAAAACAGCTTCAAGTTTAATGGGGCCGAATTACATTTATAAATTTTAAGTTTAAATGGGGCCAGATGGTTGAGTGGACAGCGCTCGGGGTTCGTAGTCCTAAGGGTCCGGGTTCGATCCACGGCGGAGGAGGAAACAAATGGGCAGAGTCACTCGCGGACCAGGCCTTGGGCTGAGAGGATGTGCGCGTCTGCTCTCCCTTCTAGGGAATAAATCCCCAACCCTGTGCTGTTGCGGTCAGTACTGACCCAACGGTCTCCCCTTCCCCCTACCTGACAGGAGGGTGACATAGCCGCCAACATATGATGATGCCAGCTTTGTACAGAGCAACTGTACACTCCTAGTTGTAAGATCTATTTTCCCCACTTTCTCTTACTCTTCTCATTTCGCCATTTCAACAGGTCAAGTGGAACGGTCCAGTGGCCCATGCGGTTATCTGTAAAATCTGGGGGGCCACTTGATCTGGGCATCTGTTCACCCTTGTAGCAGGGTTAGGCTGTCTTAGGGGACATTCTGTCCACACATAGGATACAGGAGGGTAAGTCACTGGGGGCTACCCTCTGCGAGTCCCAACCAACCAAGTGGAAGGACGGAGGGCATAGCCCTCGGCTCAGGAGAACTTATTCCTAGGAAGGGAATTGCTGAGAAAAGCAACTATACAAGATAAAATGTACAGGAACTGAGACAATGAGAGGACACCGGGTAAAAATCCGCCCCTCAGCGGGGGGGGGGGGGGGGACAGGCAATGAGAAACAGAAGGAACTAGCAAATCTGTTATCAACTCTCAAAGTAAGATTTTCTAGACTAATACCCACAAAGGACTCCTCTTTCATAGCACTATGCTACCAGGATGTAGATGTGGATACAATCATCAAGGGAGACAACATACGTATGTTGAAGGATAAACATTTCCAGGTTATTATTCCCCCTGAGCTGCAGGCCAGGAAGACAATAATCTTGAAGAGACTTGATGCAGGAATTACTGAAGACACCCCAGAAAATATTAAACACGATATAGAATATAGGAATGATTGGGCCAAGGTGGAAGAGGTAATCCTCATGCCGAGATTATCTAACATGATGAAAATAAGGTTTGAAGAAATCTCCATGGCACAGAAAGCCCTCAGCCAAGGTATCCATTGCAACTACTATCACCTTAGCACGGACAACAACAACCTTGAGCAGGAGGAATACTATAACATTACCCCTTGTTGGACATGCTATAAATACGATCACACAGCCGCAGAGTGCAAACAAACGGGCCAAGTATGTTCAGAATGTGCTGGGCAGGGACACACATACAGAGACTGCATAAATAAATCAAACCCCAAATGTCTCAACTGTGAGGGTCCCCACCGCACACTTGCATCAATATGTCCCATTAGGAAGGACATCCTAAAACAAAAAAGTGCCGATGCCTTAGCAAAAAAGACAGCAATGGCCAATAATACTTATGCAGGTATAACTACCACCAATGCTTGGTCTAACAAGGTATCACATAATCCAGCAAATACTACCCCACACACTCCAACAAACATGACCTCACAGGTAAATGGGGATCCTGAGCAGTATGTTCTTTGCTCATTTAGAAAACATAGCAAACCCAGGGTCATTTAGATCTGTAATTAAAAAGATGTACAAGATGAATAGTCTCCCATTAATGGAATTCCCAGACACTAACTCCACTAACATCATGAAAGCCCTGGTGGACAGCAATGTAGCCAGCACTACCCCAACTGTGACTAACTCCCAACAAGTGCCAGCACCCACGACCCCAGCAACCACCAACAAGCCAGAGGAAGATGATACAACACCAGCAACTACCACTCAGGACCCCCGGAGACGGGCCACACATAAACAACAAAACATACAAGTACCACAGGACCAGGGACCCACAACGGTTCTCACTGATTCCCGCACACCCACACAAAATGTCACCCAAGCCTCAGTAGTGACCCCAAACACAATCAATTTCTACTCAAGCAAAACAACCCACCAGGTTCCCCACAGGATCCTCAAAGAGCAAATACAAACCCATCAAATAAAATTCCAACACAATTCTAAAATTCCCGGTGTCTCTACGAGTGACGTGTACGACCGGATAATGTCAAATACTTTTACCTCAAACCGAAAACCCATAACCATTCAACAGATAAGCAGGGAGGACTTTGTCGCAATGCGCAATGGTTATGGAACGATCCCAAACAATCCACAAGGTGGAAGAAACCCATCAGATTCAACATAGCCATCCAGTCATTAACAATAATTCAACACAATGTTCTATGCTGGACTCCGCACAGAGCATTGGAACTCAGCAACTTGTACAGAGAAATAGACCCTGATATAATACTCATTAACAGCCATGGAAAAAAGAACAGCGAGAAGATCAAGATCTTCAATTACAAAATTTACCAGGTCAACAGAGCTGACCAGGCCAACGATGGAGCGGCAATTGCCGTTAAAAGAAATATTCCTCACAAAATTCTAGATAACTTCCAGGAAAATTTCCTGGCAATTGAACTCCAAACTACGAAAGGTATAATCTTCATAGGAACATGCTACCAACCACCAAGACGTCCTTACCTTCCCCTTGCCGACATCATGAAACTTACCAGAAGGAACAGACCTGCCTACTTTCTGGGTGATCTGAACGCCAAGCACAGAACACTGGGACATGGAAAGAACAACCAAGCAGGAGAAGCCATCCACAATATGATAAGGTACGGAAATCTAACCCACCTGGGTCCAGACTTCCCAACTTACGTCAGACAAGGCCATAGTGGTAAACCAGACATAATACTGTCAAACAACCACCACTTCCTAAACACCCACATAGAAAGGGGCCCTGTGATCACAAGCGACCACCTACCAATAATAATGACGCTATCAAATAAAATAATAAATAAATAAATATGTTTATTCTAACCCCATTCAGAAACCCTCACCACCAAGACTTCAATACACTAAAACTGACTGGGAAGCGTTCAAGAGCAGTGCACAGGAAATCAGTGTCACAGATTTTAATGGAAAGGAAACATCATGCATAAACGCAGAGTTAAATACATGGATTAACACCATAGAAAAATGCATGACTGATCACATTCCCGTAGCTCACCACATAACGCTCCCACACCCCCCAGCCACTGAGGCGCTCAGGACACTGCAAACCAGATATAACAATCTTCTACAACTCATAACACAATACGGGTGGACGGATGAGCGCAAAAGACTACAAAGGGAACTTCAAGATGAGCTGCAAGATCTGTGCAAAACAGAGTACACCAAACAATGGGATGACCTAATAAGCAAAATCCAAGTCGACTACAGAAACCCGGGAAAGTTCTGGAAAAAAGTAAAGACCCTGATGGGAAGCTCTTCTGAGGAAACACCCTACATCATAGACGCCTCAGGAAATAAACTCTATGAGGAGAGAGAACAAGAGCAGGAATTCAGGAAGTTCTGGGAAAAAATATTCAGGATAAACCCGGAAGAAAATTTAAATTTTTGCCCAATTAATGAAAGGGAAATTACAACTCAAGTCGATAACAGAGCTGCAGCACTACTCCCGACGCAAACAATAGACCTTAACAACATACGCGATGACTGCCACCTTATGAAACACATAACCATTGCGGAGGTCCATAAAACAATTATGGGTTTCAAGAACAAGGCGCCGGGCAACAGCAAAATAAATAAGATGGTATTATCCAACCTACCAGTGATTGCACTCCATCAATACACATGTATCTTAAATGCAGCTCTTGCATCTGGACTATTCCCCACATACTTCAAGAATGCCACAATAAGATTAATCCCCAAGCCAGGTAAACCCCCAACCCAAACTGAAAACTACAGGCCAATTTCCCTCCTCGAAGTACCAGGTAAAATATTCGAAAAAATTATCAATCAGAGACTGGTGAAGTACATGGAAGAGGAAGGGAAGTATAACACCAGGCAGCATGGGTTTAGAAACCGCAGAGGGGCCCATACAGCTATAGCCCTGATCTACGAGCATATAGCCAACGCAGTGTCGAAAAAAGATCAGTGTAATATAGTGCTTAGGGACGTCTCGAAAGCCTTCGACAAAGTGTGGCACACAGGCCTAAAATATAAGATATCTGAACTAGGGCTTCCTGAGAGATTTACTGCTACTCTCTGCAGCTTTATAGACAATAGAACTGCTAGGCTTAATATCGGCAGCTACTTGGGTGACGTAATAGAACTGAAAAGTGGAGTACCACAAGGAAGCTGCCTCTCCCCCACTCTATTCAACATATATACAGCTGACCTACCCCAACCCCAACATGGAGAATACATCACATACGCTGATGATGTTACCCAAATAATATGCCAACCGGGCCCATCAAAGCCGCTACTAGCCGACAAGACCAAGGCAGCAATTGAACTCATAAACAACTTTGAGAAGCAATGGAAAATTAGCACCAACAAACAAAAGTTCCAAATAATACACATTGCGAAAAGAAACCCGGACCCCATCATCCTTGATAA